TTTCCTAATTTGAAGCGTTATATGATTGTTGTAAAAGACTGCGTATTTGTTTTGTGGAATATACACACAAGGATATAGGCCATTAAGTTCGTAGCTTTTTCTCATATTGCTCATGAAAATACTTAACAACAAGAAAAAGAGACAGAGACATATACAGAGAGATGTAGAGCAAAAGCAGGTTGGTAAAATATTAACAATTGAGAAATCTGGATGAAGGTAAAAAGCTAGTTTTTTTTAACTATTCTGTAATTTGAAATTATTTCAAAGTAGGAGTGATACACATTTATATTAGTATTTGAAATAAATATGAAAACATGTCTATACAAAAACTGGCCCACAAATGTTCATAGCAGCATTATTTATAAAGGCCAAAATGTGAAAATAACCAAAATATTCATGAACTGCAACAGATAAACAAAATGCTGTATATCCATACAAAGAGGTATTTTTGGGCAATAAGTATTGATACATAGTATGACATGGATATGGCCTGAAAATAGTGTGTGCAGACTAAGTAACCCACTACAAAAGACCATGTCTGCAGTGTGACTGATATAATGAAATGTCCAGAATAAGAAAATTTGGAGAGAGAAAATAGATTTGTTGCTGCCAAAGGTTGGGAGAAAGGACAAGGAATAGGGGCATGGGGCGTGACTGCTAGTGGTGATGGGGCTTCTTTCTTTGGGGTTGATATTCTAAAAGCAATAGTGTGCAACTTTCTGAGCAAACTAAAACCCAATGAAGTGTGCGCTTTAAAGGAGTGAATTTTGTAGAATGTGAATTTAACTCAATAAAATTTTGAAGAAAAAATCCATATGCATACACAATGTAAAGGTTCCTAAGCTGGTGGCATGCAGACAGTCTGACTGAGAAGAGAAGAGCTTGGGAATTCTTCTACTAGAAGAGCCACTTTAACAATAGTTTCAGTAAAAAAAAAAAAAATTGTTTCAGACAAATCCACCTTCCCTAGGGGCAAGAAGGAGGTCCATCAGACGGACCACCTGCTATTGTTGAGCTGGACTGGTCAGGCGTACATTCCTGGGAGGGGTTGAAACTGCAATTAAGTTAGGTATTAAATCTGAGTTCGATGATTTGGGCTTGACACAAATGACTCCATGTGGGGCCTGTTGTTTCTTCTTTTAAACACTGGCTATTATCCTCTTTTCAACATGAGGAAACTTATGACCAAAAAATTATTTTGCCAAGTCACACTGCTGCTCAGGAATGGAACTAGGTTTCCAAACAAATGGAATCTGTCTTCTTTTAAGCAATGTGTTATAGAGGTTTACCCTTTATAACATAGGAAAAAGCTTGCTGCAAAGTCCCTTTTCCAGGAAAGGTTGGTTTCAAGTGAGATATTGTGTCTGAGATACCTATGTGTCTTTAGTGCCTAGGATATTGCTGGATATATGATAGACACTCAAAGTGTTTGTCTCAGCTGTGCAATGGGACACATTAGCTTTCACATGGAATTAAATGAACCTTCTGCATGCAGAATCCTGCTTCTACATGTAGGACAATTTAGAGTGTGCTGGAGTCAGAAAGATGCTAGTCAGAATTCTGGTTCTTCCATTTGAGACATCGTACTTTAGCTCTGAGACATCACACAAAAGCATTTCACTCTCCTGAATCTTAATTCTCTAGTCCAGAAAATGTGGCAAGAATAATACCTACTTTATTGCATAGTGACTCAGATGGTATGAAATAAGCTAATGCTAAAAATACAATAGTTACTTAATAGATGATAGCTGTGATTGTCCCCTCTCCTTTCTTTCAAATAGGCCTTTGAGAGAGGTGAACTATGTGTTGGTTCTCAACTTAAAATAACAAGTAACAATTGGAATTCAAAGTGGAATAGTGGAAATAGCACTGAATTGGGAAACTTATCTTCTGGCTTTTGTAGCCTTCCCTCTGCCTAGCAGCTACATAACTTTGGTCAAATCACTCAATAGTCTGGGTTCCCAATTCCATACCTCAAATCAGAGACTCCATCCCTCCTGTTAGAAGATCTCTTAAGTCTACAGGATCCTCTGAATCCTCTATGACTGACACTTCAAGAGATTATGTCGAGAATATATTACCCTGACTTGATTATTTAAAAAAAAAAGATTTATTTATTTATGCATCCAGAGCTGGGGTATAGGCCAGGGGTGCAGTGGCGGTGAAGGGATTCACCAGAGACAGGGTGGGGGGCAGAGCAGGCAGATCAACGAAGTACACTGCTGAGGGGAGCAGGTCAGGAGAGGTCTGCCATGCCATGTGGTCACCTCCAGGGCCCGGGATCCAAACTCAAGCTGAGGAGGCTTTCACTTTTTACTACTGTGTTTTAACCCGTTGTGCCACCAGGGAGGGCCCCATTTGATTATTTTTAAAACAAATTATATGGGGTAACTAGAAAATAAACATTAATTATTCACGCATCTTAGAGTTACATGTTGTTCCTTTATTTGAAACTATGAAACATACTTCCTTTCAAAATTAAAGTTGGTTAAAAGCTTAAAAGACCCAAACCTGCCACCTAGCGGTGAAGAAAAGAAATTTCAGGTTGGCGAGCCCAGATGTGCCATCACGTTCAGGATGGCTGTCCCTTAGCAATTTTTTATCTATCTGCCCTCATCCTTTACCACGAAGGTTAGTTTTACATACAAAAAAATTTCAGTACTTCCGGATTTAACAGCTCCTTCACTTGCCAGTACTCTTAAGCCAATACACGTTTGTGGACTTTTGAGAATTGAAGAAAAATTAATGATTTTAAGATTGGGGGGTGGGGAAGAAGGTGCCCTTCTATTCATACATCTTAAAACCAGTTCTATCTAAGAGATTCACCCAGTTCATCTCTTGATGGATAAGCACATCATTCTACAAGTGCCTGATTCAGAGAACCAAGACTGCTATCTTTGAAAAGGCATATTTCAATATAACAATGGGGTCCTTGATGTCAAGTATCTACCGATAACAGTAATTAAACTAAGTCTTCAAATTTAAAACCTAAAAGCAGAAATGCACGATCTTTGATCTTAAAGCCCAAAGATTTAATCTTTAAATCTTAGAAAGGACAGATTTCTAGGGCACTGGGTCTTTTGACAAAGAGGTATCTATTTTCTAGTTTTTCTTTTTCGAAGCTCTAATTGGCTTTTGTCAGCGATTCGTGGATTCGCGAACCCGGCAGCATCCTATCCAGCAAGTATAAAGGATCTGCTTGCTTTTTGTTTTGTTTTGTTTTGTTTTGTATTCCCGCCCCTTTCTCCTTTCAGTTCATCATTTTCTATATTTTTTTTCTTCTTCGCCTAGAGAGCAGTCAAGTAATTAACATCATTTTGCTTAAATAGGACCGGGAGTGTTCCAGACAGGGCGTTTTAATTATTTCAGGAGGTACCTGAAAATTCCCGTCGTCTTTGAAAATAGTTCTCTCAAGTCCTTTTCTGAAGTACGGCATTAAGGTATTTTTCAACAGCAGGATTTAAGGGTGTCAACTAAGCCTGCCTTTGATAGACCTTCCTCACGTTTGCCCAGTCTTAAGTCCGCGTCCACTCAACACAGGAACTCGCTTTTGATCGGCCGAACTTAGTTTTAAAATACTAGATTTCGATGTTTACTGTGCTTACGAATACTGGCTAAGTCTTCAAAAGACTTTAAACGTATTCTCTTCACTTCTGAAAACTTTAAGGGCTCAGCGCTTCCATGGGCATCCGGGCATTTATTCTTCATTCTACTTAAACAGGCGCTTGGGAGGAGCCGTTTCCACCAAGTTCAGAAAATCGGCGAACGCGGAACTTGCAACAGTTGGTGTCCGGCGATAGGCAGGTTGGAAGTAACAAATGGGGTTGGTTTAAGAAACAAAAAGCCCCGGGAAGGTAAAGGAAGGGAAAGTCGTGGCCTTGAGGGACAGCGAGGCGGCGGCGCGGGGTTGGCGGGGCTGAGCTCCGGCGGT